GGAAAGAGAAAGAAGAGGCAGAAACGAAGGACGAGAAGGAAATGAAGGAAGGAGCTAAAGAAAGTTGGACAGAAGTAGTCAAAAAAGGAAAGAAGAATAAGGTGAAGAAAGGTAAAGAAGGAGGCATAAAGGGTACACAGATTACCCAAGGGGGTGATGGTAAGTACTTGACGAGTTCCCAACCGGCATCGTTACCGATACAAACCAAAACAGGACAAAAGTCCCCACCAGTCCGCCACATCCCAAGGACTGCGGCAGTAACGATAACGGGCAAGGATAAAGATGCTCCCTATGACGAGATACTCCGTAAGGCTAGGCAGAATATCCAGTTAAATGAGCTAGGAAGATAGACAAGTCCAAACTCAGGAAGGCAGCGAACGGAGGTTATGTGATTGAGATCCCTGGCCCTGAGAATGATAAGAAGGCTGATGCACTGGCTGAAAAGCTTAAGGCGGTACTCCCAGAGGATATAAGGGTGGCTCGACCATCCATAAAAGGCGAGATCAGGATCATCGGTTTCGACGGTTCGGTCACTCAAGGGGAAATAATCTTCGCAATAGAGGACAAAGGAGGTTGCAAAACTGAAGAGATTAGGATAGGAGATGTAAATAGGATGAATAATGGCCTCTATACAGTGTGGGCGCAATGCCCATTAGCGGCTGCTCTGAAGATCTCGGCGTCACGAAAGATCCAGATAGGATGGACAGTTGCAAGAGTAGAACTGTTAAAGAAACGACCAGTCCAATGTTATCGCTGTTGGAGATTTGGTCATCTTAAAACGACATGCAATGCACCAGTGGACAGGAGTAGCTCGTGTTACGGTTGTGGAGAGGCTGGACACTCAATCCGTAACTGTAGTAGCCCTCCAAGATGTATCGTGTGTGCAAGCGAAGGAAGAGATGGTAACCACCGTCTGGGCTCATTCAGATGCGAGCTCGTTAAAGAGGCTGGGAAAGCGGTTCCTACAAGAGTAGAGAAAAAAGAACCCGCACGGAGGGTGGAGCCAATGGATGCCACAAATGAAGGTCAAGATCCTGCAGTGTAATTTAAACCACTTTTGGAAGGCGCAGGATCTAATGATGCAGTATATGTTGGAGTCAAACGTTACCGTGAGCTTTGTATCGGAGCCAATACATATTCCGATTACACCTGCATGGTTTGGATGTAATAACAAGCACGCAGCGATATACGTGAATCCAGAGAGTATCAAAAACCCCTTTGCATTGTACAGAGCAGGGAGAAATAACGTGACCATCAAATATGGCCCATACTACTTCACATCGTTCTATGTGTCACCAAACGTTAATGAGGATGAATACCTAGAAGCACTAGACGAGCTGGATGACGTGTATCAACGCATAGGTAAGCAGAAGTTGCTCCTGTGTGGAGACTTTAATGCAAGATCCCCCCAATGGTCAGCGTCCTCCCCCAATAGGAAGGGAAAATACTTAGAAGAGTGGGCGGCACAGAACGACCTCAGATTGTTAAATACGGGAATTAAGCCTACATGTATACGCCCACAAGGCTTTTCCACGGTTGACTTATCGTGATGTACACCGGATATGGTTAGTAGGATAACGGAATGGAACATAGAGTCCACGGTGACCCTATCGGATCACCTGTATATTTCTATGACCCTAGAGAGTGCTACAAACGCGCCCACTGGAAGTAGCGGTCCTAGATCCTGGAACTTTAAAAAACTAAGTCAGGAGGTGTTCGCTGAGGCGCTGGAATGGAAGTGCGCGGCAGTACCAGTGGAAGATACTTCATCGTTCAGTGGACTGAAATGGGTTACGTGGTTAGACACAGCAATGATGGAGGCCTGTGACTTAGCAGCCCCAAGATTCAAAGGAAGAAACAGGAAACGCTCCACATACTGGTGGAACGAGAATCTGGCGGAGATAAGGAAAGAATGCGTAGTCAAACAACGAGCTTGGACTAAAAGCAAAAGGAGGAGCAGTCCTGAAGTAATAGAGGAACTCAGAAGAGACTATAGAGCAGAAACGAAACGTCTACGCAAAGAGATCCATAAAGCTAAACAAGAAGCATTGAGAGAACTTATAGCGACAATTGATGAAGATCCATGGGGGCTCCCATACAAAATCGTCCTAAGGAAGTTAAGGAAACCGACGTTGGGACTTACGGAAACGCTAGACAGGGATAACTTAGATATGTTGGTTACATTGCTTTTCCCTGAGGGTGACACCCAACTTAATAGAACCGACTGGAGCGACTGGACCTGGAAAGAGGAACATCAGATAATTCCGGGAGAGGTCCACCGTCTACTAAAAAAAAGGTCATCAAAAATACGGCCCCAGGGATAGACGGGATAAAAGCAATTGTCTGGAAGAAGATCCCTCTCTGCATGTTGGATAGGTTGGCCATGTGTTACAATACCTGCCTAAAGGAGGGATTATTTCTACCCCAATGGAAGGTAGCAAAACTGGTTCTTATACCAAAGGATGGCCTGCGCCCGGATGGTCTTCCAAAGGCCAGACCAATTTGCTTACTCAATGATGTAGGTAAAATCTTTGAAAAAATAATAGTTGATCGCATCATGGACTGGATCGGAGACAACGACCACGCGAATTTATCGGAGAACCAGTTTGGATTTCGGAAGCAAAGAGCAACATTAGACGCAGTACAGTTTATAAAGAACCGAGCTAAGGAGGCAATCCGAGAAGGAGGAGTTGCGATAGGAGTGATCTTGACATATCAAATGCCTTCAATTCACTCCCTTGGAGTGAGATACGGAAGGCGTTAAAGAAGAGAGGTATTCCTGACTACATCCGACGCATTGTAGATAGTTACTTGACAGATAGGGAAATACTAATAATATCTGAAAGAGATGGAACCAGAGAAAGATCAATGACAGCAGGGGTCCCCCAAGGCTCGGTCCTTGGACCTTTTCTCTGGAATCTTACATATGATGACGTCTTACGAACTGACTTAAAAAAAGGATGTAATATAATTGGATACGCGGACGACACGTTCATACTGGCTTCTGCAGCGAATGAGATTGAGGCGAGTAACAGAGCCAGTCAACAGACAGCTAAGGTACTGTTGCGTATCAGGAATCTGGGCCTACAGGTGGCAGAGTCAAAGACGGAGGTTATCCTTTTTCACGGAAAGAAGCATAAACCAGATAACTACCCAGAAGTCGTAGTTGGTAATTCCCGCATTCGGGCAACGGAGTCTATTAAATACCTGGGCCTGATGCTGGATAGTACATTGGACTTTACAAGCCACTGTGCATACATGGAAGCAAAAGTTGGCAAAGTGTTTAGAGCTCTGGGGCGGCTAATGTCAAACCTCCGAGGACCGCAGGAATCTAAACGTAAACTTTATGCGAATGTACTCGCTTCGGTGGCCCTATATGGAGCTCCAGTCTGGTATGAGGAGATGAGTATCTCCACAAAGTGTAGGCAAACTTTGAATAAAATAGGACGATTGATCTCCATCAGGGTGATAGCAGGCTATAGGACCATATCACATGATGCGGCTACACTACTAGCACGCTTTGTCCCCTTATTGTTGACGGCATCAGAGAGACATCGTATCTTTTCCAGGTCAAGAGATCTGATTAGGTATGGCACGTGGACACCTGAATTAGAATCAGAAATCAAGGAAATGGAAAGTACCCTGACGAGACGACAATGGTCGCTACTCTTGAGTAGACCAGATGTTCCAGGAAAGAGAACTGTGCAGGCCTTGTTGCCAGTAATGAATAATTGGCTGGATAGGGATCATGGACAAATGTCCTTCCATCTTACGCAATTAGCAACAGGACATGGCTGCTTTAATACCTACATTTATAGGATAGGTAAAATTGATAGTCCAATCTGCTCGCAATGTGAGGCAACGGAAGACTCAGCAGAACATACGCTACAAGAGTGTGAAAGATGGGAGGAAGAGAGGAACATCCTAGTTAATAGCATAGGTATAGAGGGAGAGTTGGATCTCGGAACATTGGTTAAAGCCATGTTAGAGGATAAGGATAAATGGAATGCTGGAGTAAGATATGCGGAAGGAGTAATGAGAATAAAGGAAGCTGAGGAAAGGGAAAGGGAGGCCGGCGTTATATATCAGATGCCGGAGAGTGAAGGTTCTGCGGCCGTTCGGCGCTGCGTTGTTAAGGAGCGAGCAGTAAGAGGAGGAACCGTAGGCGTGAGTCAAGAAATCCGGCCGAAAGTTGCATCTAAATCCCAGCACTGTTCTGAATAAATGAATAAATAAAATTAAATGAAATGGATATAAATCAAATTACTTACCTGTATTATTATTATTATTATTATTATGGTAGAATTATAAAATTAAGTAAATGAGGGGCTTAAATAGTGGTACTAAATGGTAGTACTATTATAATATCATTAATAATTTAGTTATAAATAGTCTAGTTGAGCCCGGACTTGAGTTGAATTGGTGGGTGCGTTATGGATGTTTATGAATGATCTTCTCCGATTGGTCGTTTTGCGTGGTCGGCCAAGACGGCGGAGATACTTGGTTGATTGCTTCTGATTGGCCGTATAATACGAACACGCAAGATGGCGGCAACGCCCTAACAGCATAGCCGGTCGTTTCTGATTGGTTAACGCAATGAGGCAACTAAAATGGCGGCACCTATCACTAACATTGTCACTGATTGATAGCATATAGCTGGGAATCTATTAAGTAATTGTTAATTATTAGTAATGGTACTAACTTACAAACGTTAAAAATAAAAATAATAGAAATAGTTTAGTATTAGGAGGAGGAATAATTATTGGTAAATTGAAAGTTAAGTATTAACGATAAAACTCAGGATTGAATATGTAATGACAATTCTGTATTGATTATTGGGTACTTGTGCTGTTATACTTGATGCGAATCTACCAAGCGGAGGAGTTGTAGCTTAGCTTTTGTGGTATTGATACGTGCAGGGAGACACGCTAGGAAGCTAGGTTGAATTGTGCCTGTTTCATTGCATTCTGTTTTGCACTGATTGTATATGGTAGGAATGGATATTAACAGCTTCTTGACATCTGTGGTTGAGAAGCGTGATCCTATTACTTTTGTGTTCCATATTTACAACACTGATATCTGGAAAAAAGGAAAAAGAGATAGAAATGTTGAAAAAAGGAATCTTGATTAACCTGTAATAACTATTGAACGGTTATAATTTACTGCTAACTGCTAATTACTGGATGCTCTGAGTGCCATGGAGTTATTTAATAGTGGAGCATGTTACTCGGAAGGAATATTCGACACTTTTGGTTTCTATAGTGTGCTATGCATTAAATATTTGAATGCTGCCCAAGTATACACTGCAATGTTCATGATTCATAGTGGTAAAGGGAGTGAGCGCATACGCGACATTTCACTTATTGTATTGCTTATTTTATGGAATTATTAAACAATAAGAACAGGTCACTGAATGGAATAATAATTACCTTAAGTGGAAATAGTATGCTATTCGTAAAAATTTAAGGATTGCTTGAGAGCACACTGAGAGACTAAATTATGCCTACACCACTGCATTCTATTCGCACTGACTCCGATAGGATAATATATATGAGATATATTTGTGCTAGGAGAACTACTCCTGAATACATAGGTGCTATAGCCGACATTCTGAATCTAAACTCAATCTTTGACCTTAAATCTGAGGTAATTGTGACGGAAGTCTGCACGTGTAAACCGGTAATGAGGTGATGTGAGGTGTTGCGGATTCTCCTTGCTTGATCTGTTGAGGGCTTACATGCTGGTAGATGAATGGATATTGATAGCCTCTTGATCTTTTATAGCTAAGAGGCGTGATCCTATTGCTTTTGTGATCGGTACTTGTGGCACTGTAGCACTGGGAGCTGGAAATAAGAAAATTTTTTGGTTACCAATCCGTAATGACCATCGAAAGGCTACTAGCTACTAATTGCTAATCATTAATTATTAGATGTTTTGAATATCTCATGAAGTTGTGAAATGGGTTACCTGGAAGGAAATAGCCCAATGTTTTGGTTCCTATAGTATTTGATACGTTAAAAGTATCTGAGCAATCAGGCAATATATATGGTAATGCTTATAATTATAATGGGGACTGACCGCATAAGTTTCTTAACTATAATATTACGCGGAATACTCTTCCAAAACACAACATATCAACGTAGTGTGGCACGATCTGTGACATTTGACTACCGTGGAAAAACTATACATAGATGGTTATGGTGACGCCTATTGGTCGATCTGTGTGGCCGGCCAGATACTTGGTTGACTGCTTTTAATTGGCCGTTAGCGCGAACAATCAAGATGGCGGCGACGCCCTAACAACGCTTCTGGTTGGTCGACGCAATGCGGCGGTCAAAATGGCGGCACCTATCATTATCATTGTCACTGATTGATGGCATATGGTTGGAAATTTATTAAGCGATTGTCAATTATTAGTAATGGTACTAATTTACTAACGTAAGGAATGCAGAATACATGCATGTTTAATATACTCGAGGAAAATTCAATATGATATGCTCTGGAATATATATATGTTTTCTGGAACCTTATTTGTTAATTAGTAAGTAGCTGTGAATGGAAATCATTGTAATTTTGAATCATTAAATAATCACACAATTGAGAAGTAGCGCCTAAGTCTTTGAAATGGACAAATAGGCAAATTATATTAATGCATAGGAGTAAGTTAGGTAAGAGATGTAAACGGTGCGTGTACCGAGTATTATTAGCAAGATGAAAGTGATTGCATATTAGACCCACTAGACTTGGGATTTGCTAGAACCTAATTCTTAAGGAAAACACATTACGGTACTTGCAGCTAGATACCTACATGGTTCTCTGCGATATTACTGATGAAACTAAATAATGAACAAACGTACAGATATTATTGATAAAACTAAATAATGAGTAAAAATATAGACATCCGACACGCGTCATATGGTGATCGGAACGTGTAGACATCTGATATCCGCTATATCACACTAGCACGGATTGCGGATGCCTGGTCCTCGCAATTTTGGAGTAGCAGACATCTGGAATAGTGTTGTTGGAAGATTTGATATTTGACATTTGTAACAAAAAAGTAGTAGACGGATACGTTGACATTTGGTAACTGGTTGTTCGGGATAAATAACATTAAAGATGATTGGCTACTATGTGATATGGCGCGACTGGGTGCAACATGTGGTTGAAAATTCTTAAGTTATAATCATAACTACCGAATATCTGTAAATGCGAGACCCTGTGGTCTACTTGTAAATAGGGTTTGTAAACAGGGTGGCCGGATACCTGCTTGGGAATGCCTGATTGGTTGTACTCCACTTGTGCGTTTGGGGGCAGCCAACAGGTCATTGGCGATTGAGATGAGTGCTGGAGGGTTCTGGGAGGCTGCGTAGATGCATAATGATTTAATTGAACTTCAAAGAACTGTTGTCTGATAATTAATAAATCCAAATATAATGCGGACCTCACGGAGCCCTGAAGTGCATCTATGAGGTGTATTTAGGATGTGCGATACTTTGTGCGCGAGTATGTATATATATATATGTAGAGATGAGACGCGTTGTACCTGGGTTGCGGATACAAGGACTGCACGATCAGGTCGATTAGTATGTGAGTAGCCTAGATAACTCGTAGAATATGGGCGAGTGGATTAGCCACTATACCCCCTTTAGAATATATACACTTGGGTAGAAGACAGTCAGGAGAGGGGTAGCGTATATAATGGCGTGGCCCTCCGTGACACGGCAATCCTAAACATAAGTATTTATGGTTAAATGATTAATGCTGCGTTGAGACCTTAGGTTTGATCTGAACATATGAGAATGCTAGAAATATATAAATATTCTTACTATAAAGGAATACAGCATAAAATACTTACTTTAGAACCCTAGGTCCTTAGCTTTAAGACATCCTACTAAGGACACATCAAGGGATGCTATTGTGTCGCTGATTCAATTCTTGCGTAAAATAACACATTTATCGATCTGAATTAACCCAGAGTGACCGAATCTTGAAGGCAGTGACTGAAAAGAAAGGTTAATTTTCAGTATATAAACAATAGATTGTAACCGGATCTCGTGAATTAAGCGAGGTCATAGGGATGCTTAGAAAGACTGTTTTACAAAGGAATAGTAATCTGTGTATTATAAGGAGGATAAAACCCGGTACTCGAGATGAAGGGTCTGAAGTAAACAAAATAAACGTCCCGAATCTGCGTTTGGTACTTATATCATGGGCAAAAACATACTAGAGGGGAATGCGACAATAGCTGCGGCCTTATAGTAAATTACTGAACACTAGGATTGCCTAAACTAAGAATAGGTAGATTCGAAACTTAATATATCATACTGCCTAGGATTGGGGGACGAATAAAACTGCCTCCTGATTCTGGAGGTTTTCCCCCAGAGTCTGGGGATTTCGCAAAATCTCCCAAAGTATCCCGATCGAAACAAAAAGCGTGAAGTAAATTACTTAACGAAACAACACAACAAAACCACCACTTCTACTAATGAATGAATTATGGAAAATAGTGAATATGACAAATTACTAGCCCAGGGAAGGTCGGATCTCCCAGGGCTCGGCGAGAGGGGAGTTTTCGTCCCTGGCCTCCTCCTGTCGTTATCAGGCGAAGGGCTAGAAGAAACTAGGAGCTGCATAGAATCCCAGGAACTTATAAAGGCATACCAGGACAACACAGTGGACTACATCAAGATGCTAAAAACGCTGATTGACTCGGTGAACAGAGTCCCTACCCAACTAAGAGGGAAATTACATTTTGCAGTTGGAACAGTATTAAGATATATTGATGATTTCTCGACAACAATAAACAAACTAGAAGACGCTAGGAAATATACCTTGATTAAGGTAAATAGGCAAGAAGATCACATACAGGAGTTACAGCGGGAACTGGACACTGTGAAGTTACTGGTGTTAGAGGGACCACAAGAGCGAGTGCGTGGCACTGAGTACCTAGCTGGGGATATGCAGAAACTCCCTAGCTCCCTAGGAATAAATTGCTATAACGCCAACCAGCAGATTTGCGAATGGGACAAGTTGACGACTCTAGCAATGACATTGGACAGCCCAGATGAACTCCTAACGGATGGCTTTTTGACTATGGCACGGGTAGGACGGACTCGCAGGCGTGGCGAAGCCAATCGTCCTAGGGGAAAGTCACCCCGAATAAGAAACCAAAAACACAAAACGTACATGATGACAGACAAGGCTACGAATATGGAAACGTTACCGCCGCAGGGGAATTCTCGGAGCCCCAGCGACAGGCAGGCAGGCTCTACGGTCCCTGGAGCCTGCAGGTCTTCAACCTGCGCAAGGCCTACTCCATTGCTGCCGACGGGCATGGAGGTTAAAGATACTACCGCCGCGAACTTAGAAGAAGAAATGAGAGATCCACTGGAACTGACGTTTGTAGACTGTCCCTCTACTCCGGTGGATGAGGAAGGGTCGCAACGATCGGCCTTGGAACAGGCAGAAACAATTGTCTCAACACCCAGTAAGACTCCTAAGATTAAAACAAAATCTAAAATAAAAAGGAAGGCGCGCGTTTCGCCGGAAGTGATTACACCAAGTGACGAGGAACGTGACGTAGAATGTACAGGATTGTATATAGCCACTCCGGTGGCAATAAGGAGAACAAGATCTAGGAAGAAAAGACAGCAAACGGGTGATATTGATATAACGAAGGGTGCCACGGATGCATCCTCAACCCGGATGTCAACGGAGTCTGAGCGAAGTGACCTTGAAGACATGAATACCTCCAAAAAAGCTGCTAAAACTAAGAAAAATGTAAGCGTTGTCGTATCATCGGAAGATGAGGACACTGGACAGGATTTTGCGCCGCAGGACCTCCAAATTATGGGGGCAATTAACGTTGGAGCCGTTGGCCTGGACTGCTTGGCAAATGTCGAAAGGATGCGCGCCAAGAGTAAAAATTTACAGAGCGGTATCAGCGGCAAAATGCGAAAAGACTTGGAAAGAGCTAAAGAGGTCATGAATACCCTTATTCTAAAAGCTGAGGCAACTGGGGATCCGGCCTTTCTAAGACTAAAGAATAGAGAACTAGCTGCGGAGATAGAAAAACACAAACTGGAAGAACTCCGTAGGCAAAGAGAAATGGACGACATGAGAAACTTGGTTGAGAGTCTCAGAAAGGAGGTTATGGAATTACGGGACAAGCTGGATGAGGCGGAGGAAGATAGAAGGAAAGCTAGGGAAAGTTTGAGATGGGCCGAGTGGAAGGCTAAAAAAGAAAATAGGGAGCCGCTAGTGGAAGCAACGGAGAAGGAACAAATTACAGAAGGGAGAATTAAGAGGAACCTAGAAGAAGAAGGAAAAATATCAATAGACTTACCCGTGATGGAGATTGAATGCGCTGAAAACTTGACGATGAACATTCTGGACCCTGGAACCGGAAAGCTGGTATCGTCTGCTGCAGCTGGACCTGGAAAAGAAAAAGAAAAAGAAGAAATAGGACAGATTAGCAAGGAAATTAAAGAATTAAGAAGAAAAGAAAAAGAGTTAATGAGAAGAAAGAATGAACTTAGTAGGACAGAAGAGAGTGAGACAGGTAGCGAAAGGCAGGGGTATAAAGAAAAACCCTTACCTTAGCGGATCCCTAGAACGGGGCCTAGGGTTATTGCTAATGTCCAGTTAGCTCCCCCTAGAGCGCCCCCAGATTTTAGGGGAAGAGCTGGGAGGTTGAACAAGGACAGAGACAGGGATAAGGACAAGACTAAGGAAGAGGATACTAAAGATAGGAATGATAGTAAGAAGGATTGGGTTGAGGTGCGAAATAGGAAAGGGGATAAAAGGAGCATAGATGAACAAGCGGGCAACTTATTTGTCCCTTACACTATAAACCAGACAAGCGCTGGATTTAAGGTTAAGACCCCGGGGATCTTCAGTAGTAGGCCCGGGACAACTCGTAGGACGCCCAAATCCGCGGCGGTTTTGATTACGGGTTGTAGCGGAGAGTTTACTTATGCGGCGGCCCTGAAGAAAGCGCGCGAGGCTGTTTCCCTAGTTGATTTAAAAATCGATAATACGAAGGTTAGGAAAGCGGTGAACGGTGGCACAATTATCGAGGTCATGGGCCCGGACAGCACTAAAACCAATGCCCTAGCTGACAAACTTAGAGCTGTTTTCCACGATCAGGCGAAAGTTGCTAGGCCTGTCGTTAAAGGGGAGATCCGCATTGTGGGCCTTGACGACTCGGTCTCTATGGCTGAAGTTGCCTATACCGTGGCATATTACGGAGAATGCAGCGAAGAGGAGGTGAAAGTTGGACCTATTCGTCCGATGAACAATGGTTTGTTCACGGTCTGGGCTCAATGCCCATTAGGAGCGGCTATTAAAACGGCCAACAACAAAATGGTAAAAATCGGCTGGACTCAAGCTAGGGTAATTCTCCTACAAGCAAGACCGGTCCAGTGCTTTAAGTGCTGGAGATTCGGACATGTTAGATTTGTTTGCTCATTCGGAGAAGATTTTAGTAGGCACTGCTTTAGGTTTGGAGGAACGGAACATAGAGCTGGAAACTGCAAATTACCGCCATCCTGCAGAATTTGTCTTTTGGAGGGCAGGGACCCCAATCATAGGCTTGGTTCAAACTTCTGCAAAGCTGATCGCGGAAATAATAAAGCAAGAGTGAACTTAGTGACTGCTGGACCGACTAGATTGAACAATGCATCGACTACGGAATCAAGAGATGCAGAGACACGTTAAAGTATTTCAGGTGAATGTGAATCAAAGCAAACCCTCGATGGATCTTCTGTTACATCAGGCGAAAGAGAATGATGTTGGCGTGCTGCTGATCTCAGAACCAAATTACATCCCTGATTCTGAAGGCTGGTTCGCCAGCGTAGATGGTAGCGTTGCAATATTCGTTGACACCACCCGGGTCAAATTAAGATGTCTCCTTGCTAAATCAGGCCCTCGATTTGTCGCGATATTATGCGGTCCTTATATGATTATGTCGGTATACATCTCCTCGAATATCGGACTGAGGGAGTTTAACGTCTTCTTAGACGAACTATCGGAAGAAATATCATCCCGGGTGGATAAAATTATATGCGGGGGTGACTTCAACGCTAAAGCCACACTGTGGGGAGCTTCCTCTACAGATGGTAGGGGTCTGCTCCTCACAAGATGGGCAGCAGAAAGAAATTTGCGTATCGCTAACATCGGAAATGAGCCAACATGTGTGCGCCCGCAGGGCAACTCAATTGTTGACCTGACCTGGGTGTCTCCGGATCTTCTACTTTTGGTTCAGGAATGGCGTGTTAGGAGTGATTTAGAGTCCCTTTCCGATCACCTTTATATATCGTTTGTTGTGAGCTGTGAACGACCCGAACCACCACCCAACCGGCTGGTTTGTAGGAGGTGGAACGTGAGGGAATTTGACATAGATCTATTTCATGCTGCGCTGAATTGGAGGGAAAAGGGTCCCCCGGTTGAGGATCATCAGAGTGTCCAACGGATGGTAGACTGGCTAGACCGGGTGATGGAGGAAGCCTGTGATGTCGCCTCACCGAGAATTGGCCCCCGAAGATCTCGAAGACAGGCGTACTGGTGGCAGGACTCTGTCGCGGTTCTTCGTCAGGGATGTACTTTGGCAAGGCGGCTATGGCAGAGAGCTAAGAAGAGGAGGCGCCCTTTGGCAGTTATCATGGAGTTGGGAGCAACCTATAAGTCAAAGCGAAAAGACCTTCGTAAGGAAATTAATAGGTTGAAGTCGGCGGCATGGCAGGAACTTATCAGGTCTATTGATGATGATCCATAAGGGCTTCCTTATAAGTTAGTCCTCAAGAAGCTTAGATTGACATCCCCTGGACTCACGGAGTTGCTGGACGCGGAGACATTGTCGAGACTTCTGGATTCGCTGTTCCCTAAAAATAGGTTACCGGATCCAATAAGAGATTGGACAAGTTTTGTTTGGTCCAATGACTGGCTGATAAATAGCGCTGAAGTGGCGCGTGTGATAAAAAAGACTTCGACTTCAGCCACTAAGGCGCCCGGGCCGGATGGCTTCCGTCTGATCACCTGGAAACAGATAACGGGTGAAATTCTTGACTGGATTGGGCACATATTTAACGCATGCTTAATTAGGGGGGAATTCCCTCGTTTGTGGAAATGCGCGAATTTGGTACTTATTCCTAAGGGTACTAAGCAGAGCTTATCTGATGAAGAATTGCCTAAGGTTAGGCCTATCTGTTTAATCAATGAGATTGGTAAAGCATTTGAACGAATACTAGTGGAAAGAATCTACCAATGGCAATCCGAACACCCGAATTCCGATCTGTCCGTGAATCAATTCGGATTTAGGAAGCGTAGATCCACTTGCGATGCGCTTCTCGCAGTCAGGGATATAACCACGTGTCAGGGAAGGTGGCTTGGCAATTGCAATATCGCTAGATATACGCAATGCCTTCAATAGCATTCCCTGGAGAGTGGTCCGCAAAACTCTTAGACATAGAGGCTTTCCTACTTACCTGCAAAGAATCCTAGACTCTTACTTGTCCGATAGAGTCATCCAGTACATCGGGATGGACGGGAGGCAATATACCCGACCTATGGAGGCTGGAGTCCCCCAAGGTTCTGTCTTGGGCCCAGTCCTCTGGAACATCGCATTCGATAGCGTTGTTAGGATGGCAGAAGATGAGGAGTATGGCTACATCCTGTGTTACGCCGATGATACGCTCATCATAGTTACCGGAAGGGATCCTCGGACCACCTACCTAAGGGCCAGCATACTTACTACTAGAGTGGTCAATCATATTAATAGTCTGGGTTTAACCGTGGCGAAAGATAAAACGGAGGCAATAATTTTCCATACTAGAGACGCGGAGGGGGTACCAACTTCCATCGAGATTGGCGATGCTACTATAAGTTTTAGGTCTAGTATTAAATACCTAGGAGTTATGCTGGATGCCTGGTGGACGTTCAATGAGCATTTTAGGTACGTGGTGGAAAAAACTAGTCGAGTTGCGCGAGCCCTTAACCGCCTCATGCCAAATCTGAGGGGGCCTGACGAGAGACGACGACGCCTATACGCTAATGTGCTTCTGTCCGTGATGCTCTATGGTGCGCCGGTTTGGGGCAATGAGCTGAATTCTAGCAAAAGACGTGCAGCGCTCGTTAGTTTGGAGCGCACAGTGGCGCAAAGAGTCATTTCGGCGTACCGAACGGTGTCGGGGAACGCGGCTTTTGTACTGGCGCGGTTACCTCCTCTACACCTGTAGCCTCCGATGCGGAAACGGATATTTGATAGGATCAAGGAATACAGAGATAGAGAAAACCTAACTACGGAAATTCGAAATGTGATACAGGAGACCGAACATTATAGGCTGTGCGAGGAGTGGCGAGATCAGCTGGAAAGACCCAATACACCTGGGGAGTTTACGAAACTGGCCATTGTCCCTAGATTGGAAGCGTGGCTATCCCGAAGATCCGGAAGTATGTCGTTTCATATCACGCAGATCATGACTGGTCATGGATGCTTTGCGAAGTTTTTGCATCGCAACGGTAGAAGAGAGAATTCGTCTTGTGACATCTGTGGAGAAGAGGTGGATGACGTGTACCACACCATAAGGGATTGTCCAGCGTGGGATCCGGAAAGGATCAGGGTTACGGTGTTCCAGCTTTTTTGCATTTTTTTATTACGGAAATCGAAAATTGGTCACGCGAAACGGATTCTGGCGTTTGTTTCGCGTCGATATCTATCTCCGTTCCTTAGTTATAGGGGTGCAAAGCGCCCCTTGCCATTTTTGGTCCGTAACTCGAAAACCGTTGACGCCGCGAGATTGGCACCCGAGGGACATCGATCGGTCTCGCGAAGGGCTACAATTTTGGTCCCGTACTCCACCCCCCTAGGACCCACCCCTTGGGCCCTGTATACTTGGTCCAAAAGGGTGAAAAATTTTTTTTACGGAAATCGAAAATTGGTCACGCGAAACGGATTCTGGCGTTGGTCTCGCGTCGATATCTATCTCCGTTCCTCAGTTATAGGGGTGCAAAGCGCCCCTTGCCATTTTTGGTCCGTAACTCGAAAACCGTTGACGCGGCGAGATTGGCACCCGAGGGACATCGATCGGTCTCGCGAAGGGCTACAATTTCGGTCCCGTACTCCACCCCCCTAGGATCCACCCTTCGGGCCCTGTATACTTGGTCCAAAGGGGTGCAAATTTTTCTTTACGGAAATCGAAAGTTGATCGCGCGAAACGGATTCTGGCGTTGGTCTCGCGTCGATATCTATCTCCGTTCCTCAGTTATAGGGGTGCAAAGCGCCCCTTCCTATTTTTGGTCCGTAACTCGGAAACCGTTGACGGGGGAGGGTTGTCTCCCGAGGGACATCGATCGGTCTCGCGAAGGGCTACAATTTCGGTCCCGTACTCCAACCCCCTAGGATCCACCCTTCGGGCCCTGTATACTTGGTCCAAAAGGGTGCAAATTTTTTTTTACGGAAGTCGAAAGTTGATCGCGCGAAACGGATTCTGGCGTTGGTCTCGCGTCGATATCTATCTCCGTTCCTCAGTTATAGGGGTGCAAAGCGCCCCTTCCTATTTTTGGTCCGTAACTCGGAAACCGTTGACGGGGGAGGGTTGTCTCCCGAGGGACATCGATCGGTCTCGCGAAGGGCTACAATTTCGGTCCCGTACTCCAACCCCCTAGGATCCACCCTTCGGGCCCTGTATACTTGGTCCAAAAGGGTGCAAATTTTTTTTTACGGAAGTCGAAAGTTGATCGCGCGAAACGGATTCTGGCGTTGGTCTCGCGTCGATATCTATCTCCGTTCCTCAGTTATAGGGGTGCAAAGCGCCCCTTCCTATTTTTGGTCCGTAACTCGAAAACCGTTGACGCGGCGAGATTGGCACCCGAGGGACATCGATCGGTCTCGCGAAGGGCTACAATTTCGGTCCCGTACTCCAACCCCCTAGGATCCACCCTTCGGGCCCTGTATACTTGGTCCAAAGGGGTGCAAATTTTTCTTTACGGAAATCGAAAGTTGATCGCGCGAAACGGATTCTGGCGTTGGTCTCGCGTCGATATCTATCTCCGTTCCTCAGTTATAGGGGTGCAAAGCGCCCCTTCCTATTTTTGGTCCGTAACTCGAAAACCGTTGACGCGGCGAGATTGGCACCCGAGGGACATCGATCGGTCTCGCGAAGGGCTACAATTTCGGTCCCGTACTCCAACCCCCTAGGATCCACCCTTCGGGCCCTGTATACTTGGTCCAAAGGGGTGCAAATTTTTCTTTACGGAAATCGAAAGTTGATCGCGCGAAACGGATTCTGGCGTTGGTCTCGCGTCGATATCTATCTCCGTTCCTCAGTTATAGGGGTGCAAAGCGCCCCTTCCTATTTTTGGTCCGTAACTCGAAAACCGTTGACGCGGCGAGATTGGCACCCGAGGGACATCGATCGGTCTCGCGAAGGGCTACAATTTCGGTCCCGTACTCCACCCCCCTAGGACCCACCCCTTGGGCCCTGTATACTTGGAGTAGGGTGTAGAAATTTACAAGTCTCAAGGGGTGAAACGGGACGCAAAATATCGACTAAAATTCGTCAAAATTGGACTATACCAAACGATAGAGAATCGCGTGGAATGTGTTTTGGACCTATATATTTTTTTTCATTTAAAAAAAAATTTTTTTTTTTCATTAAGTCATGTGGGTGTAGGAAGTGTAAAAAATCGAACAAAATTGGACTATACCAATCGATAGAGAATCGCGTGGGATGTATTTTGGACCTATATAATTTTTTTCATTTTCTCAAAAAAATTGTTTTTTCCCTAAGTCACAAGGGTGTACGGAGTGCTAAAAATCGATCAAAATTGGACTATACCAATCGATAGAGAATCGCGTGGGATGTATTTTGGACCTATATAATTTTTTTCATTTTCTCAAAAAAATTGTTTTTTCCCTAAGTCACAAGGGTGTACGGAGTGCTAAAAATCGATCAAAATTGGACTATACCAATCGATAGAGAATCGCGTGGGATGTATTTTGGACCTATATAATTTTTTTCATTTTCTCAAAAAAATTGTTTTTTCCCTAAGTCACAAGGGTGTACGGAGTGCTAAAAATCGATCAAAATTGGACTATACCAATCGATAGAGAATCGCGTGGGATGTATTTTGGACCTATATAATTTTTTTCATTTTCTCAAAAAAATTGTTTTTTCCCTAAGTCACAAGGGTGTACGGAGTGCTAAAAATCGATCAAAATTGGACTATACCAATCGATAGAGAATCGCGTGGGATGTATTTTGGACCTATATAATTTTTTTCATTTTCTCAAAAAAATTGTTTTTTCCCTAAGTCACAAGGGTGTACGGAGTGCTAAAAATCGATCAAAATTGGACTATACCAATCGATAGAGAATCGCGTGGGATGTGTTTTGGACCTATATATTTTTTTTCATTTTCTCAAAAAAATTGTTTTTTCCCTAAGTCACAAGGGTGTACGGAGTGCTAAAAATCGATCAAAATTGGACTATACCAATCGATAGAGAATCGCGTGGGATGTGTTTTGGACCTATATATTTTTTTTCATTTTCTCAAAAAAATTGTTTTTTCCCTAAGTCACAAGGGTGTACGGAGTGCTAAAAATCGATCAAAATTGGACTATACCAATCGATAGAGAATCGCGTGGGATGTGTTTTGGACCTATATATTTTTTTTCATTTTCTCAAAAAAATTGTTTTTTCCCTAAGTCACAAGGGTGTACGGAGTGCTAAAAATCGATCAAAATTGGACTATACCAATCGATAGAGAATCGCGTGAG